AACAATGAAATCAAAGAAACACGTTTGCTAGGAAAACCAGGAAGTAAACACAGTATAATGATCAGACTTCATTCATACGATAAAAGAAAGGACCTAATTAAATCAGCAATTACAATGAAAAATGGAGTGTACATAAATGAGTGTCTAACAAAAAAAACGTCAAAACCTTCTGTTCAGGCTGAGAAAACTTAAACAGGAAAACAAAATACATCAGTGTTTCACGCGAGATGGGAAAATACTAGTAAGGAAAACATCAACAGGACAACAATATACCATCTCAAACGAACATGATTTCTCTACCTTCCTTAGAAAAGCTGACATTTCTGTAACAGATTAGATAAGTGCCCTTAATACATATATACGTGTGGTGCATATAGTTTACGTTACTATTATATTGTGCATTATTATTTTTATTATTTTTCATCACTAGCTAATACCAACTACCTCCAATACTCTATACTTCTTTCTTACTGTATTAATTGCTCATAATTTTAAATCCAAGTCAAATCTTACTCCAAATTAATAATATTCATTATTCTTACCTGTCCATTTAATTTTGTTTATCACTACAGTGGACCCCCGGTTAACGAACTTTTTTCATTCCAGTAGTATGTTCAGGTGCCAGTACTGACCAAATTTTTTCCCATAAGGAATATTGTGAAGTAGATTAGTCCATTTCAGACCCCGAAACATACACGTACAAACGCACTTACATAAATACACTTACATAATTGGTTGCATTTGGAGGTGATCGTTAAGCGGGGGTCCACTGTACTTGTTTTTTAGTCACTTTTCATTGTGTATGCAATTAGTGTATATTCCAATTACTTTTTTGCAAGTACCAAAACTATCTTTTGCTAGCTAGTACCAACTACCTCATTTTTTTTTTACTTTTTATTGTGCAATAAACTGCTCAATTTATTTAATATTACAAATCAGATCTTACTCCTAAACCAATATTATTTCATAGTGACCATCTGTCCATTTAACTTTGTTTACCATTACTTAATTTTTAGTCCCTTATATATTTTCTCCTTTATTTTAGCTTTATATAACTACCCTAGTTTATATATTCACAATTGTTTAAAATAATCAAGGTGCTATTCTCAGGTGCTAAGTAGAATAAGTTCACAATTTTGCCATTATATTCCAAAGCTCATTTATTTGATTACCACTTTATTGTTCACCACAACTTATATTAGTCCCTTTTATATTATAATTTTATACTATAATTCTAACTTTAAAGAATTATCTTTATAGTACTACCTACTATCATATTCCCAAGCTCCATTATTTGATCATCACTTTATTTGTATTAGTCCCTTTTATATTGTCTCCTTTATTTTAGCTTAAAAAAAAAAAAACCTTAGCTCATTATTTTACATTTGTTAAATAATTCAGGTGCTATTTTTTAGCTTAAGACTATTTTCTTTGTTTTATACTTAATTCTAACTATAGATTCACTACAAATCTTATGATTACAAACATTGATCCTGATACCAACCTCTTATTTAATGACTTAAATGAATCAAACAGTTACTGTAATTACTACACTGCAGAACAATCAAAGGCACTTCTCAGTGCCAACAACAACATAACTATCTTTAACTACAATATCAGATCTTTAAGCAAGCATTACGATGACCTCATAGCATTACTAAATTCCTTACATGCCAATATGTCCATCATTACACTAACTGAAACCTGGCTAAAGCCTGATAGTCAGATGTCCTATGCCATTCCTGGTTACACAGCCATACACAACTGTAGGCCAGACCAACAAGGGGGTGGCACAGCCATATACTACTCAGACCAACTAGAATGTATCACTAATACTTGCACAAGGGATGAACATGGGGAATATATAATAGCCAAATTCAAATCCAAATACCTACAAAAACTCTCACATTGATAAACATCTACAGAGTTCCACAGTCAAACATTAGCCAATTTAGTCAAAACCTAGGAAGTATGATAAATGATGCACGCATGAACAAGATCACTTACTACTCTCAGGTGACTTCAATATAAATCTCCTGCAAGACCAGGACCCACACGTTACTGAATTCACAAACACAATGAGTAACTGTATGTTGCTACCAACAGTAACAAAACCTACAAGAGTTACAGAGACTAGTGTTTCCCTACTTGACCACATCTGGACCAACACCATATCCCCTTTAAAATCAGGCATAATTACAGATAATACCACAGACCACTACCCTACTTTCCTCATAACAACTCTTGGTAAACTACCCCAAGACACTACTAAAGTCACCTTCAGACTTCACAATGAGGCAGCCATTAATAACTTCACAACAGCAGTAGCAAATATTGACTGGCACACTGAGCTTTAAATCTATACAGATATTGACGAATGTATTAATATTTTCTAAAAAAGACCCAATACCTCTATAACAAGCACTGCCCTAAAAAAACTAAACAGATGACAGCTAAGAGACTGAACAGTCCCTGGCTAACACCCAGCATTCTCAAATCCATAAATACAAAACACCAATATGAAAAACAGTACAGAATGGGTCCCATAACCAGAGACCAAACAAAACGTTACTCGTCAATCCTAACCAGCTTGATAAGAAGGGCAAAAAAATTGTATTATGAGAACAGATTATCCAACTTATGAGGTGATATAAAAAAGACCTGGAAAACCCTATCAGAAATTCTGGGAACAAAAAAGATACCACGAAATAGCGAAATAAAATTAGCAAAATCAGATGAACCCCAACTCCCACCAAACAGAAACAGCAAACAGACTCAATGATTTCTTCTCCACTATAGGACAAAACCTTGCCAATAAAATCCCAAGCTCAGATACCCCACCAAATGACTACCTCACCGGCAACTACCCGAACACACTGTTCCTAGCTCCGACTAACCCATACGAAGTTTCCCTTATTATCAACGCACTAAAAAACAAGGCAGGAGATTTAAATACCTTACCATCCTTTATATACAAAAAAGTGTCACAAGTGCTATCACCAATCATTGCAACACTCTTTAACAAATCCATTGAATCCTCCACCTTCCCTACAGTTCTCAAAATAGCAAGGGTCACCCCGATCCACAAAGGAGGAGACCAAACAGAGTTGAATAACTATAGGCCAATATCCAACTTACACCCTCTCTCAAAATCTTCGAAAAATTAATTCATAAACGAATCTACTCCTACCTTATTTCCAAAACATAAATCAACCCCTGCCAATTTGGATTCAGGCCTAATAAAAATACTAATGATGCTATTATACACATGCTAGAACATATATTACACTGCAATAAGAGAAAAAAGAAGTCCCACTGGGGATCTTCATTGACTTACGTAAAGCTTTTGATACAGTTGACCATGACTTGCTCCACGTAAAATTGTCACACTATGGTATAAGAGGGCACTCCCTCAACTACCTCAAGTCATACCTCAGCAACAGAAGCCAATATGTGTACGCAAATGGGGCAAACTCTTCTGCACAACCAATTACAGTTGGTGTCCCACAGGGAAGTGTCCTTGGCCCTCTTCTCTTTCTCCTATACATAAACGACCTACCAAATGCTTCGCAATTACTCAAACCCACACTATTTGCAGATGACACTACATACGTCTTCTCCCACCCGAGCCCAGTCACGCTAGCCAATACTGTAAATACCGAATTACAGAAAATATCTACCTGGATGAGGACTAACAAACTTACACTAAACATTGACAAAACCTACTTCATTCAGTTTGGTAACAGAGCTACAGATGTCCCTCTTAACATAATGATAAACGGATCACCTATCACGAAGCTAACAGAGGGAAAATTCTTAGGAATCCACCTTGATAATAGACTCAAATTTCATACACATATACAACAAATTTCTAAGAAAATTTCCAAGACTGTAGGCATACTATCGAAGATACGGTACTATGCTCCACAGTCAGCCCTCCTGGCCCTATATCACTCTCTTATTTACCCCTATCTCACCTATGGAATTTGTGCATGGGGCTCAACAACAATTAACCATCTCAGACCACTAATTACCCAACAAAAGGCTGCAGTTAGAATGATAACAAATTCTCACTACAGGCAGCACACTCCACCAATATTCAATACACTAAACCTACTCACCATACAAAACATCCATACTTATTACTGCACCTATTACATACATAGAACACTTAACTCTGATGTTAACCCTTCCCTCAAACATCTCCTTGCCAACCTCAACAGAACACATGACCATAACACAAGGCACAGATCACTCGTTGATGTTCCTCGTGTCCATCTCACACTATGCAAAAACTCAATGCACATAAAAGGCCCTAAAATCTGGAATTCATTACCTGTAAATATAAAAAAAACACTACCTGTTTATAAATTCAAGTCTCTTCTCAAAGATCACTTACTCACCCAAAACCAAATAAATACTGAATAACTGAACCTTATAAATTGTATATCTTAAATGTTTCTCACAATTATATCACATAAATGTTAAACCTAAAACCCAATCTAACTTTATTATTTTTTAAATACACTACCTAACAGAATACTCCATACGACTGAACGTACAACAATGCATGCAACCATATGACCTGTCTTTGTAATACTCACTTGTGCTTTATAGTTATCTGTTTACATTAATGTTTTATCACTGATTTCATCATTGCTTAGTTAATCTTAAGTTAATTTTAAGCCAGCCCGTAATGCTATGCATAGTATAAGTGGCTTTGGCATGCTGCTCTTATCTGTATTTTTTTGTACCTCTGTATGTGTGCTCAAATTGTAAATAAATAAATAAATAATTTAATGATGCAGTACTGTATAAAGATGTGAATAATCACAAATATCACTTTCTTTTATGCTGGTCAGATAGAACAAACCCTCATTTTCTGAGTGAACACTTGTTGGACTATTGTTGACTTGTTTCATATGCTCTGTAAACTCTATTTTATTTCTTCAAGCAAGCAAGTTGCCTTGTGAGCTGCAGTTCATGGTCTTTTTTTTCAGAGCAAATGCTATACCATTGAAGGTTGTGATGAGCAGTTTGAATTTGTAAGACTGAAGCAGTCCATGGAGATGGTGGGGTTCACAGCTGATAAACAACATCGACTCTTTGCTATACTCTCTGCTGTTCTTCTCTTGGGTAAGCCTTATTGTTTCTTGATACAGAAGCAACAAAATATGTTTTGCATGTGTATTATTGACAAATCTCTTGCAAATTCTGTTTGGCTTTCTTACAAACAATTTACAGCATATTTCTTAATCTATGTTATTTAGGTTAGGTTTAGTTAGGCATGTGTGAGTGTTTTAGATTGGAGTGAGTGGAGGTGAATGGTTTTTGGGAATTGATGAGCTGTTGAATGTGAGCAAGATAACATTTGTGAATGGATTCAAATGAAACTAGTTAGCTAGACTTCAGTCCTGTAGGTGAAAAGTACAGTGCCTCCACTCTGAACAAGAGTGAGAATATTTGCGGTTTAGAGGGGTGATGGAGTGAACAATGGTGAAAGTGTTTCTTCTTTGGGTCACTCTAGCTTGGTGGGACATGGCCAGTGGATTAAAAAAAGAAAAGTGTGATTAAATGCTCTGATATGTGAACAGAAAATGGGTATCCACTAAGTGCACTAAAAGCATCTAAAGCAGGTAGTCACTGTTTAAGGCTTGTTAAATAGTGTCCCATATGATTATCTCAAGAATAATGAAATACTGTGTGTTATTAACCCTTTCAATGTCAAGACCTCTGATCCCAAACTCACTCTCATTGTCGAAAAATATTTAAAAAAAAAAAAAAATTATTATTTCTTACCAAAATCTTAAGACTATTTTTCTGATTGTTTTAACCCTTTCAGGGTCGAGAGGCCCTCTCCTAAACTCGTTCTCAGGGTCGAAAATTTTTTGGAAAAAAAAAAAATATTATTTTTCTTATGAAATGATAGAGAATCTTTTCCCAATCATAATGACACCAAAAGTATGAAATTTGATGGAAAACTTACGGAATTATGCTCTCGCGAAGTTGGCGGTCTCGACGATGTGTATGCATTGGCGATTTTGCCCAGTTTGAGCCCTATTTTCGGCCAAATCCTGTGTACTAGTTGACAAAAATCATATTTATTTCACTAAAACTTCATTTTTTTCTATCGAATGAGTACAAGAAACCGCCCATTCACTAATTTCAACTATCCAGTAAAGTGGTTAGAAATTGGCAATTTTGCCAATTTCACACAAATTTCAGAAGATGACAATTTCCAAATAGGGCCCAGAATAAACAAGACAGACATTCCTGGCATTAAAAGAACAAGTTCTTTGTTCGTTAGTCATGTCCCCAGGCCCCTCTTACATTTCTTTTGCTTTCCACTTTGAATTTTTATTCTCACAAAAAATAGAAGATTTACTGTTATGCAGACTACTGCATTAGTGTAGAAATGGTATAAATAATATCAGCACACTTGTGAAGGAATATTAGACTCACCAGTTGACGTGTATTGGACGCTTGGCATGATTTGTTTACTTTTGAACTTTGGTAAAAATCGAACATTTCTGCTACTTTGAGCTCAATTTCAAGGTACTTTTCATTGTGAAATCAATCAAAATCATCTCAAGTTCTGTAATATGTCTTCCATTCTATAAAATGAGACCAGGAAAACTAGAATAGAAAACTAGAATAAGTCAAAACATTTCCTGGAGGACAAGGCCTAGCATGCATGTGCTAGTGAAACATGCAGGTTCTTCTTGTTGTACACAAGTCAACAAGAAGCACCTGCATGTTTCACTAGCACATGCATGCCAGGCCTTGTCCTCCAGGAAATGTTTTGACTTATCACATTTTATCTTGCCTCCACTAACAATAGGTCATATTCATAGAAGTCTCTTAACCAGTGTAGATGATAATTGAAGGAAAGATGGTGGTGAGGACACAGTTGTCTCCATACTTGATAAAATAGAAAGTAAGGGAGCAAATGCCAAATGAGCAGGCAATCTAGAGAGTGGATTGCCAGTGCTAAGATACAAAACTCATACCAGTGATTAAGAACATGTATGTGTTAGAGCAGGTCCAGGGAGACATTTATAAATGTAATATAATGCCATTACATCAATTCCAAAGATGTACAAAGTTAAGTATGGCAGTACATATACATAACTGACTTGGCCCTTGTAACATATGTAATCCAGAACTCTCTTAGAGAAATTGTTGACATAAAAGAAAACTAAGGAAAACAAGCTAAATTTGAATCTAAAATTTTGGTAAAGTAGTTTAATTAAACTTTTCAGAGAATTATCTTAGAAATAATCATCACTGAATTGACCTCTAAAATTGCAGTTTTGCTAGTTACTTAAAAAAATCCAATATAATTACTCTTAGTTTTTATTTTCTATTTAGCTCCTTGACATGGTTTGAATTTTGGTAATATTGTATTTTTTTTTTTTTTTGTCAATTTTATTTTTTTTCTGTAGTAGAGTTGAAATCTCTCATTGGAAGAATTGGTTTACTTTGGCCTAGATTTGTCATTTGATGTTTCTGTTCTCAGATTATAGTACATGTTGCATAGAATGTTACAGCAATATAGTTTGTCTGGCTTGTCTTGTAGTAGATTGTAGAATAAATTTGATCTAACTTTTCTTATCTCATTGACAATATTGAACGCTTATCTTGTTCTCTTTAATTGCTAAACAGGAAACATAGAATTCCAGCCCAAGAAGTCCACCTACCATCACGATGAATCAGTGCTGGTACGAAACCCTGAGCAAGTTAGTGTTATATCTACATTGCTTGGAGTATCTGAGGACACGCTCACGAATGCACTTACGTCCAAGAAGGCTCGTGTTCAGGGAGAGATTCTAGTCATGCACTATCGCTTGCCTGAGGTATAACTCAGTGAGAAACACACTGTGGAAATATAATATTCATCTATTAGTAACAGCTGTAATTAAAGATTTATGTTGCTCTCTTTGTCAATAACTGTTGGTCAAAATGAATACCATTTTACTCTACATTATTGCATTATTACTGTTACAATATGGTGTAATATGTTTGGAATTTTTTAATAAATAATTTTTTTTCTCAGGCTGTTGCAGCCCGTGATGCTCTGGCTAAGTGCTTGTACGGGGCATTGTTTGACTGGATTGTCCTGCAGGTAAACTACTCTCTGATCACCCTAAAAGAATCATCCAGTGATATGGGTGGTAACTCAATTGGTGTGCTTGATATCTTTGGCTTTGAAGATTTTGGTCACAGCAACAGGTTAGTTTGAGAATTTATTACATAAATATCATGGGCGAGGATGCTGCTTTAGGAATCATTTAAATTGTAATGCCTGATTTACTTTTTGAAAGACATGATTGTGTTTTCACATTTTGAGGTGCCCATCTTTGGTGGGGAATGGCCAATTTTATTTAAAAAAAATATTACTCATTTAATTGAGTAGGCACTGCATTAGCCTGTGGGATGTATGGTGAAAAGAAGGTATACAGGGTGTATTTGACAAGTAATTATTGAGCAGTGAATCAGAATTAGGACAAAAATATCTCATTTGCATCATAACCTCTCCATAATGACTTAGAGTCGTTTCCAATTACCTCAGCCTAAAGGCCTTTGAGGCTTGTTTAGTTTGCAACCAAAATTAGTTTTAAGAATTAAAAGATTATAATGCAATATAAATTTATTTAGAGTTCTAAAGACATCAGTATGATCATGTAATGAGGAAAAATTTTTGAATGTGTTGAGATAGAAGATATTAGGCATAACAAAAGTAAGCGAAACTAAATGAAAAGTAAAGTCTAAGGAAAAAATATATATATTTGGATGATGTGGACTGGACAAATCAAAGAAGGATAAAAAAAAGAAAAGTACATTGTGTGTGTGATAGGCTCACTGAAGCAGTTGTCTAATTACATGTCAGTTTAGGGAAAAAGGTTTCATGCTATTAAGTTGATTTTCACTTCTCCATTTTTTATCAGATTTGAACAGTTCTGTATTAATTATGCCAATGAGCACTTGCAGCACTACTTTAACCAACATGTTTTTGAGTATGAACAAGAAGAATACCAGCGTGAAGGAATTACCTGGACCAATATAGAGTTTCAAGATAATGTTGATTGTTTAGCATTGATTGAAGGCAAACCAGCTGGCCTGCTGTGTGTGCTGGATGATCAGTGCAGGTGAGCACCTCAGCATCTAACTGACTTGTGTATGGATTAAATTTTTTAAATTATATTTTATGAATGTTAAATTATAATCATTACTTGTTATTTTAAAATATAAGAAACAAGGTCTTAATCATATTTTACAAAGCAATTTTTAACCCTTTGACTGTCGCAACCCCAAATCCTGAAGTGTCTCCTGGTATAGAAGAATATTCAAAAAAAAAAAAAAAATTCTTATGAAAATGTTAAGATTAATTTTCTGATTGTTTTAAGCCCCCCAAAAATTTTTGCGATCAGTACTTGCCGAGATATAGAGGAGTAAAGGTGGCAGAAAATGAGCCACATATGGCAACAGCAGCGAATGCCGCTCGCCCTGTAAACTTTGGTTTACTTGCATTGGAAGGTTTCTTGTTTTTGTTTTTTTTTCACTATTTTATTTTTTCACATAACTTACGTGGCCTGTGAGACCAAAGTTAGGTGCAATATAAAGGTCTCCCTCAACATTTGTGTTTTCAGTTTTCGCGGGCTTCACACATTTGCTAATTCCCAATCGCCAAATCATATTTACGTTGAGGACTTGGAAGTTGATGAACGATATTGATAGAGGCATAATTCCCTACAAAACTCTGTAAATATGAAGAAACGGTCTCAGTTCCCCATCACAATACTCTTCACAAGGAAGCCTGCCACTACAGTCCCCATCCCTTTACCCAAGGTCCTATCTATGCTAAACCCTTGGGTAGTTTAAAATTTGGGTTGTATAAATACATGAGGGAGGTACTACCGTCCTGCCAAGTGAGTGTAAAACGAAAGCCTGTAATTGTTTTACATGATGGTAGGATTGCTGGTGTCTTTTGTCTGTCTCATAAATATGCAAGGTGACAGGTACGTCTTGCTACTTCTACTTACACTTAGGTCACACTAAACATACGTGTACATATTTATTTATACTCACTCATCTGAGTTTTCTTTGATTTTATCTTAGTTCTTGTTCTTAGTACTTTTCCTTTTATATCCATGGGGAAGTGGAATAAGAATCTTTCCTACGTAAGCCATGCGTGTTGTAAAAGTCAACTAAAATGCCGGGAACAATGGGCTAGTAACCCCTTTTCCTGTAAAAATTACTAAAAAGAATAAGAAGAAGAAAATTGTCAAAGTGGGAAGTCTGAATGTGCGTGGATGTTGTGCGAATGATAAGAAAGAGATGATTGTGGAAATACATGAGTGAGAGAGGTTGGATTTGAGTGGGACTTGCATGTGAGAACATAAGAACATCAGAAAGGAGGAACACTGCAGCAGGCCTGTTGGCCCATACTAGGCAGGTCCTTTACAATCCTTCCCACTAGCAAAATATTTGCCCAACCCAATTTTCAATGCTACCCAAGAAATAAGTTTTGATGATTCTATTTACTCATTCCACAAGTTTCACTCAAATCCAACCCCTCTCACTCATGCATTTATCTAACCAAAATTTGAAACTACCCAACGTTTTAGCTTCAATAACCCTACTAGGCAGACTGTTCCACTCATCCACTACCCTATATCCTTTCGAAATCTAAACTTATCTAATTTGAATCCGTTATTGTGGGTTCTTTGTTGAAGAGATATCCTCAAAACCTTATTTATATCCCCTTTGTTAATACCCATCTTCCACTTATACACTTCGATTGTGTCTCCCCTCATTCTTCGTCTTACGAGTGAAGGTTGTTTAAGAGTCTTTCATCGTTCTTTGTACGGAAGATTTCTAATGCTATGTATTAATTTGGTCATTCTACGCTGGATGTTTTCTAGGAAATTTATATCCATTCTGCAATATGGAGACCAGAACTGAGCTGCATAATCTTGGTGAGGCCTTACTAATGATGTATAAAGCTGTAAGATAACTGCTGGATTTCTGTTGCTTACACTTCTAGATATAAATCCCAGTAATCTGTTTGCTTTGTTACATACGCTTAGGCACTGCTGTTTTCGTTTAAGGTTGCTGCTTACCATAACCCCCAAATCCTTTTCGCAATCTGTATGGTTAAGTTCTATGTTGTTTAACTGATAAGTACTAGGGTTATGGACACTCCCGAGCTTCAGAACCTTGCATTTATCTACATTGAACTGCATCTGCCACTTTTCTGACCAGGAATTGAGTTTGTCTAAATCCTCCTGAAGTTCCCTGACATCTTCGCTTGAATCAATTATCCTACCTATCTTTGTGTCATTGGCGAATTTGCTCATATCACTAGTAATTCCCTCATCAAGGTCATTGATATATATTATAAACAACAACAGGCCTACAACTGATCCCTGTGGAATGCCACTTGTTAAGATCCCCACTCGGATTTAACCCCATTTAAGCATACTCTCTGCTTCGTATTGGTGAGCCATGACTCAATCCATGACAGCACTTTTCCCCCAATGCCATGAGCTGCCATTTTTTTAACAGTCTCTGGTGTGGTACTCTATCAAAAGCCTTACTAAAATCTAAATAAACAATATCGAATTCTTTATCATGATTAACGGCCTCAAAAGCTTTACTGAAGAAGGTTAATAAATTAGTTAGGCAGGAACGGCCCCTCATGAATCCATGCTGAGTATCATTAATCAAGCTGTGCTTATCCAGATGGCTTCTTATATTATCAGCTATAATTGACTCTAGTAACTTGCCCACAATCGAGGTCAGGCTTATTGGGCGGTAATTTGATGGTAACAATTTGTCCCCTGCTTTGAAAATAGGAATTACATTAGCCATTTATTTACATTGCCACATTTACATCTGCCACTTTTCTGACCACGAATTGAGTTTGTCTAAATCCTCCTGAAGTTCCGAGACATCAACGTCTGAATCGATTGTCCTACCTACCTTCGGGTCATGAGCAAATTTGCTTATGTCACTAGTAATTCCCTCGTCAAGGTCATTTATATATATTATAAACAACAATGGACCTAAAACTGTGAAATGCCACTTGTTGCAGATCTCCACTCAGATTTAACCCCATTTATGCACACTCTGCTTCCTGTTAGTGAGCCATGACTCGATCCATGACAGCACTTTTTCCCCAATGCCTTGAGATGCCACTTTCTTTAACAGTCTCTGGTGCGGTACTCTATCAAAAGCCTTACTAAAATCTAAAACAATATCGAATTCTTTATCATGATCAACGGCCTCAAAAGCTTTACTGAAGGAGGTTAATAAATTAGTTAGGCAGGAACGGCCCCTCGTGAATCCGTGCTGAGTATCATCATTTAAGCTGTGCTTATCGCGATGGCTTCTTGTATTTTTTTTTTTTTTCAACAAGTTGGCCATCTCCCACCGAGGCAGGGTGACCCAAAAAGAAAATACTTTCATCATCATTCAACACTTTCACCTCACGCACACATAATCACTGTTTTTCCAGAGGTGCCCAGAATACAACAGTTGAGAAGTATATACGTATAAAAAATACACAATATATCCCTCCAAACTGCCAATATCCCAAACCCCTCCTTTAGAGTGTAGGCATTGTACTTCCCATTTCCAGGACTCAAGTCCGGTTATATAAAATAACCGGTTTCCCTGAATCCCTTCACTAATTATTACCCTGCTCACACTCCAACAGCTCGTCAGGTCCCAAATACCATTTGTCTCCATTCACTCCTATCTAGCACGCTCACGCACGCTTGCTGGAAGTCCAAAGTTCATCAGGGCCTGGGGACATATTCTGCTTTAGTCGGTCTATCTGTTTGATAACCATTATGCTAGTGGCTATGATATTGCATAATTTATCATGTTCAGGTCCACTATAAAAATTAATTATTGGGATATTGTTAGTGTCTGCATGAGTGAAAATCGAGAGAAAATAATTATTAAGAATAGAGCACATTTCATTCTCCTTGTTGAGATGCCCAGAGTTATTTTTAAGGGGACCTATCTTGTCTCTGACTTTTGTTCTATAAACCTGGAAAAAACTTTTTGGATTAGTTTCTGAATCCCTAGCAACTTAAATTTCATAGTCTCGTTTAGCTTTTCTTATCTCCTTTTTAACGTCCCTCTTAATGTCAGTATACTGATTCATAAGATGACCCTCACCTCTTTTGATATGCCTATAAATTCCTTTTTTCTGTCCTAAAAGATATTTGAGCCTATTATTCATCTATTTGGGGTCATTTCTATTTGATCTAATTTCCTTATATAGGATAAATGTCCTTTGGGCAGCATGTATTGTGTTAAGAAAGCTGTCATACTGATAGCTCTCTTCATTACCCCAGTCCACAGATGATAAGTGTTCTCTAAGCCCATTGTAATCTGCTAAGCAAAAATCTGGGACCATTACTGAATTATCCCTACTGTCATACTTCCATTCAATGCTGAAGGTAATTGATTTGTGATTGCTTGTGCTGAGTTCCTCTGTAATTTCTAAATTATTAACAAGGGTTTCCTTGTTTGCCAGAACCAAGTCAAGCATGTTATTTCCCCATGTAGGCTCTGTCACAAACTGCCTCAAAAAACAATGCTTGAAATTTGAAATTACCTCCTGGTCCATGGGCTGGAGGAGAGGAGTGATATTAGGAGGCAAAAACTTCACTTTTATGAAGCTCAACTTCCCCGCAATTCACTCTGGAAAGTCTGAAAGTTAAGCAGGAGCATTGTCTAATACCAGGAGGCACTTGAGGTCCAATTTATTTTCCAGGAGGTAATTTTTCACAGTGGGGCCAAACACATGATAGAACCAATCATAGAAGATATCCCTAGTAAACCATGCCTTACTGTTTTCCTTCCACATCACACACAAATTAGCCTTGATGACACTGTTTTTCTTGAACACTCTGGGATTTTCAGAGTGATACACGAGTAGAGGCTTCACTTTGCAATCCCCACTAGCATTCTACTAATTTAGAGTTAACCTGTCTTTCATAGTTTGGGGGCCTGGCAGTGTTTTTCCTCCTGTGGTATGTAGGCCCGTTAGCATTTTTTCAAAAGGCTGTTATCACAATTGAACACTTCTTGGGGTTTTAATTTGTTAGTGTCTATGTACTCGTTGAATTCC